CGCTATAGACTACAATTTCACATGGACGTGTAAATTGAATGTAAATAGAACAAGATAATAAAATTAATAATACATGTAATATTATTACTTGTAGTTTTGTTTTTTTAAACTTAGTTGAGGAGAATGTTTTAAAAGAAACAATACCCCCGCTGTCGCCAACTAATGGTATGCTCCAGACCCAGACAATCATGTGATTCAGACTCGATTTAAACGTCGCAGGGGAACTCAAAATTAGCCGGTTTTCGTTCATTTATCGTGTGTTTATTTAACTTCTAACAACTTATCATAATGCCGATGTGTGGAGGMACCACAGAAGTAAAGGATGCCGATGAAAATGTTCAGCAGATCTGTGACCAGGTGAGTACACGTGTGTTAAACGCTTTAATTTCTCGAAAATCCAGGCGGAGTCTGGGGGCACCGTTAACTTTGCTGCCTTTTCAGGTGAAGTCAAAGGTGGAGCAGAAAGCAGGGAAGACTTATGACGTCTTCACCGCCAAGAAGTACAAAACTCAGCTTGTGGCCGGAACTAACTACTTTATAAAGGTAGTAATATACTGTAGTTATTACATAGCACAGCAGCAGAAACACTGAACACAAAAAGTTTAATGTTTTTTTATGATACAAATAATGAAAGAAAAATGGCTTTGAGGCCCAACCCAGATTACTGACTCACTCCTTAGACATTACATCCTTCTTACATGGCTCAGTTTATTTACCTAAATTGCCTGTTAGGTTGCTCTTATGGTGTTTCATCTTGTTGCTGAAACAGGCTCTGATCCAGCAGTGAGAGTCCAGCTGAGCCAAAAAAAAAAAATTGGTACAAATTTATCTGTATTTGTTTTTTAGGGACTGATAAGAGGATAAGCAGAAGGAGCCAGATTATACATATAAACAAAGCCATAACAAGGCCTTGAATATTTATTGAAAACAGTGGCAGGATATTTAACTTTACACAACAACAAGAATGACAATATAAACATCTTTATTATGGAACAGAGATGGGGGCAGGGGTGGCAGTAAACCTAATAGTTAGCTTTGCTAATTYATAGTCCACTAGCTAAAAYGTTAGCTTTGCTAAACTGTTAAAATAAGTGGAAACTAACACTTAACAGCTAAACAAGTAAAAATGAGCAGAAGCTAACGTTGTCAGCTAACTGCTAACAACTAAGATGAGTCACTCGGTCTGTGTCTCAAGCCTTCATCTTTTTCCAGCTGAACACTAGTGGGACTAACGCCAACCAGTTAGCTGTTAGATGACCTAAAGTTGCCAAATACCCACCATTAGCTCAGATATTTGGGAAGGTGTGTGARTTGTTTCAGATGGTGGAAATTCACTCTTGAATGGCTGTTCATACTTTACACACCCCCATCACAGGATTCACAGACTAGGAATTCGCTTCGGTGTAATGGTGCATTAGGTATAAAATATAACAAATAAAGAAAATACAAAGGATAAAGGAAAAATATGGTAAAATATACTGTATAAAACATGTGTACACCAGTTCAATACAGTAATCAGAGCAGACAATATAGTTGGAGTAGTGCAGTTAGATCCAGTGATGAAAGTGACCAGAAAAGCACTATAGTCAGAGTTGTGCAGTTTAAAAACCAGTGATAAAGTGAMCAARGCGTAGTTATAGAGTGACGTGATTCTAAATGTTCAAGAGTCCGACGGCAGAGGGGAAGAAACTGAAATTTCACAACAACAACCACATAGAATAGGGATTTGTAAGATAAAAGTAATGTTGTCAGGTGATAGATATAATTTTGCAGATAATTATAGTAAATATAGAATTACATATCAGGAAACAATACTTGAATATTGAACACTATAATGTCAGTAGATGCAAGTGGGAATTCTAACTTGTTTTTTTTTTTTCTTCTTTTTTTTGTCCTTTCAGGTCCATGTTGGTGGCGAGGACCACATTCACGTCAGGGTTTGGAAAAAGCTCCCATGTCAAGGAGAAGAAGTTGAGCTGTCCGCCGTGCAGCACAGCAAGACCCACGAGGACCCAATCGAGTACTTCTAAAGGGATCACGGTCCTCCAGTGCCTCCAGTCTCACAGTGATCGGTTAGAAGCCCAACATTCCTGTTCCTCGGATGTTGTAATGACAAGCTGTAATTAGATCACGATGATTGAATAATGGCCAAATGGAAACGTTTTTTTTATCAGTTGTATGAATAAATAAGGGAAATTTATGTTTTGGTGTCCTGTGTGATCTGTGAGGACGCTGCAGGCAAAAGTCATAAAACAAATATTTGAGTCACACTAATTACAGTGCAAGGAGATGAAAACAAAACATGCCTGGGTGAAAACGGTTGCAAATCTGGCTCAAGAAATAGAATTCCTAAACAGATTTTAATTTTTTAATGTCAGACGCAATGAAGAAAAGAAAAAAAAAGCACCATCAACCCAAGAAGAGTTCATTAAAAATGTCATCACTTCATGTAAAAGGAGCATTAAAGCATGTCTTAACACATTTAAGAGAAAACAACACACCCAGGCAGTACCACAA